GATGGCCAGAGGTTCGTTTATCCTAGTTCTGATATCATTATGAATTCACAGTAATTATTGTGTAATAACCCGTATGGCAGCTAGCAAATTGTAGTTCTAGTCCTAACCAGTTATCGTCTCTACTTTATAAGGTAGCTCATCAAACTTGAAATTTTAAAGGTACTTTTTGGAATATTTGAAATTAGCTTGGGTCTTTTTGTAGTTAGGTCATAATTCAAGGCATCTTTCTGTCACTGAGTCCTCTTTTTATACTTTTCACCTGGCAAAAATATGTCGCCAAAAATTTCTAATTTCCCAGAAAAAAGTTTGAAACTTTAATGCCACCGGCCAAATGAAATGAGTTTTTCCAGCAGTTTATGGAAAATTGAGCTCAATATTTCACCATTCTTGATTTACTTCAAGAGATTTTATTACCATTCCAGTAAAATTACATTTAACCAAATATTTAATATGCCATTCCCAGGTTTTTGAATTAGAATTCGGGATCCAAGCATGAAGCGGGATATGACGCTTTCATGACTGGGGGCGTCTTTTCACAGGCGTGCTCCAATTTAGGAGTCGATTTTAATTCCCACGATTTTCCCCAAAACGAGAAGCTCCGAAAATACGTTAATCATTTATACCTCAGCTGGGTGAATGGGGACCTAATTGATCTAACAACAGGGAAAGTCGCAACCAAAACTCTAGTTGCCTCAAAAGCGAAGTGCAACAACTTTGTCTTTTCGAATATGATTCTTCTGTGGGGCTTATTGCCTACCCTGAGAGAAAATGATATCAGAGTTATTTTTAACAAGGTTTTCGGGTCGGGCTCTATCAAGACAATCTACCATTTGGACGAGACTGCGGCTTTTGTCGAGTTCAGTAAAGCAGAATTTGTGTCCGAATTTCTCAAATTGAAAGATAAATTGGAAATGGGTAAAGACCCGATTTCTATCTTGCACCCCTTGTCGAGAATTTCGGAAGGTAGGCGTGTGCGTGCTGTTAATTACGAGACGTATAAGGAGATTTGTGGGTCACCCTTGTCTGAAATGGCCTTTTCGGATCAGGCTGAAGCTGTTCGGTTTATTAACAGGAGAGAGGAATTAGTAGATGCAGCTATTGAGGTCAGGATGTAGGTAGCAACAGAGAAACATCTTTGGTAAATTGTATTATTCCTTTATATTTTTTTTCTTTTCAGGAAGAGCAGTTGAACAGATAAGATGGAAGGTCAGATTTGTTGTATGAACTTCAATTATGCATATTATTATCTTCTGAATAAAAAATTGAAATATCCAGTGTGGAAAATCAGCAACAATTACCAAAAACAAATTGTCAAATCTTGGAATTCAAAACTAACCAACAATCAACCTCAACACATAAACCCTAGAATAACTACCTAGTCATAATAAATCCAAAAGAAATTAGAAACCTAGCTAAAACTAAACAATGAAATGAAACCCTACACAACCAGATAAACCATGACAAGAAGACCTAAAAATGCAGTCACGAGGCAGGGGACAAGCGCTACATATCCAGCCGAACTCTCCTGGCCTTCGCCCGAGGAGCTGCCGCCCGAATATCCAACCGGCGCTGGCGACGGTGCGACTGTCGGGGCAGCAATTTCCGATGGATGCATGACGCGGATAATGAGCCTCTGGCCCGATTTGCAGTGACCGGGCTGCCCGCTGATGAAATAGAACAGGCCCGACCGATCAAACTGGAAGATCGTGTTGCCATCTTCGAATTTGGAGATGGGATTGGATGTGTTGCAGGCCAGGTAATCGGCCTTGTTCACCNNNTTTTCAAAAAAAAAAAAAAAGAAAAAATTCGAGTCATCACAAAACAAAACTTAAAATGAATACAGGTGATAATAATATTGGCAAACTTACCAATTGTATCCCCAACTCGAAACCTGTTCTTGGCGGCCCACTCGTTATAAGTCTCGGGCTCGTCTCCGGTTGGGATCTTCCATCCTCTCTCTTTACCACCGACCGGAAACTGGAAGCCCGACACCAAGACTGCGGCAATGGAAGCCGCAAGCAACAAATTGGTGAAGGCTCTTGAGATAGCTGCAGGGGGGGAAGCCATTTTCATGAACATATATATGCTAAGTAAGCTAAGTATATATATGATGAATATGAAAGAGGTTTTTCAGTTTCACGTTTTACTAATGCATGCTTAGGGTTGGTGTATTTATAACAGCAAGTGACGGTTAGGTTTTAGTTGTAATTTTTTTATTTGTTTGAAATTGAGAAAAAGAGGGGATGTGGCGAAGTGGGCAGCTCAACAGTTAGTTAAGCTGAAAACGTGATGAAAGAAAGAGTCCTTCCGTTTTTCTCAAGAATTTTGAATCAGTCAAACTTTAGAGGTTGATAGCTTATTATTATGGGTAAAAATTGTATGGGTAAAAAAAAATTAGTGTTAATATTGGCTCATTTACAAACAAGCTACATGTTTTGCCGCCCTTGTGGTCTTACCCGACTCGATTTCCGATTAGTCGGTTCTCCTGTGGATCCAGAAACCGGAAAGTCTTTTGTACAAAAAAAAAAGTCAAAAATAATAAATAAAAAATATTAAATTTTTTAAACAAATAAAAATAAAAAATTACACTAGGTTAGTCTTTTTTTTAATTCATATTATTTCATAGATTTGTCTTGTCAAAGTCAAAAATAATAAATAAAAAATATTAAATATTCTTTTTAAACAAATAAAAATAAAAATTACACTAGATTGAGGCTATTTTTTTTTTAATTCCTATTATTTCATAGATTTTAGAAGGATATATAAAAATTATCACATTATATCTATACATATATAATTGTTGACATATACTACCTCCTTTTTTAAATAAATGTCGTTTTGACTTTTTTGATTCATCCATTTTGCTATGTATCTAGATATATTAATGTCTAGATACATAACAAAATGGATGAATCAAAAAAGTCAAAACGACATTTATTTAAAAAAGAAGAGAGTAGTATTTAATAAAACATTAAATAAAACCTCCATTCTTTTCCCGCCTAAAGCATTTTTTGGCCCAGAATGGTAAGTTCATTTCAATAATTGGTCTGTAACGTTTTTATTTTCTCCTTTTTTTTATTTTTTTTTTTATTTTTTTTTTAAACCCGATATTGACACACGTATGTGACATGACAATGAGTTATTGATTAAATTAATACACATGTTACATGGCAACATTTTATTGGTTAAATAAAATTTTCATTTTTCAATTTCTATTATTTTTACTTTTTGTAACTTGACTAAAAAAATAACTAGAATTTAAAACAACCACGACAAACAAATAACATTGAGATTACAATTCATGTACAAAATCCAATAAATACTAATAATAATTCATATATTATAGAATTCCTGCAGTGCCCCGTCCAATTATTCCTGCTTGCAAAATGTAATAGAGATTAGTGATAGAATAAAATGTAACAATTAATTACAACGCAAATAAATAAATTTTAATGTTGTAAATATAATATACAATAATAAGCATATAACAACATTTATTAAAAAAATTGAAATAAAGAAAAAAATGTCAAAAATTAGCCAAAAAAATAGCCCCTAATAAAATTGTAGAAAAAAGCAACAAAAATCTACCGACACCATTGATGGAGCAAATGTTATTTCTCTTTGACCTTATTTATTAATAATGAAAAGCATATGACATTACAATTTTTCAGTTACCAATATCAATACTGCATGATTTTTGGACATTAATGGTGTTGAATATTTAATCTTGCGGGATTCAATACATATCATATTCAAAGATTTATTAATAAAAAAATTTAATTTATTCCAATTGAAAAGTTTTTTTTTTAAAAAACTTTATTTCTTGCTTTATAGACTATGGAGTCTAGACAATAAAAAAAAAATGAACCAAAAAATCTGAATATTTAAATTTATACCTGAAAATCAACCATGATTCCATGATTCATGCACAGTGAAATATAACATAATAAAAACTGATCAATTAATTTTTAAATTTACCAAATATATATAATACACCATATCAATCATCTCAATAAATACTAACAAATGCCATTAATTCATTTTGATATAGCCATACTATCGTATAACGGCTTATGCTGTCCCGGTTCGAATATCGTCGGATCGACTTACCCGAAGTCGACTCCTCCCACATATCTCCTCATGATGATACATCCGGTCGAAGGTTCGGATGCTTTTCTTAGTCGACTTCTACCATGTCGACTAGCCTAAGTCGATTCCGTCTGGAAGGATGAATAAGTGTATTAGAGTCTACTAGCGATTGGGGGATGACCCAACCGGCTCGAAAGCAAGGATATCTCAAATCGACTGAAGTAGTCTCGGGACTCACGGATCCCCGACGACTCCTATACACTTCAGCATATCAGAGGGAAGCTACTAAGGGATAAGGAAGAATCTAGATGCTGACTAGGAGGTGGATAGAATATATACGAACCGACCAGGGTATTTTGGACATTTCCAGTAAGTCGACCAGGGCATTTTGGGGACTTCAGGTAAATGTTTTACTTCTATATAAAGGAGCTGAGGCAACTCCAAAACCCGTTCATTCTACATTCTTCTCCATTACTGCTGCTGCTCTCTCAGAGCAGCTCTCTTCATCTCTTTCACATACTGACTTGAGCGTCGGAGGCTCTACGCCGGGAACCCCTCCGACGTTGAGTTCTTGCAGGTGTTCTCGCGGTTCAGCAACGGTTTGGAGGCTATCGAGTCAGATCTGAGCTCATTCCCATCGGTTCATTCCAGATCTGGGCGGTTTCTCATCGGTTCACTCCAGATCTGAGAAGAGACCCATCATTTTGGCGCCGTCTATGGGGAGTTCTTGAAGGAATTAAGAGCTTTACACCTAGCTTTGATCTGTCTCTAATGGCTGAGAAGAAAGGACTACAGAAGAATTTGAACGAGGATTTCAGGGCAACATGGACTGATTCCCAACCCCAGGCCACCGCTCCAAATGTTTGGTTTTCCACCGTTCGGAGCACACGCGCCGTCAGGATCGCGTACGGGAGAAGAGACACCTATCACTCCGCCTGGAGTCAAGATCCCAGTGCTCACTCAAGGGGAGGTTAGTCACGTGAGGGACACGAGCGGAGGGGTGGACGGTCATGCATCAACTGAAACAAGGCCACCACCCCGAGTCGAGGAGCAGACATTGACCATGACGAGAAGCGAGATGCAGAGAATGATCGCGGAGACGGTAGCGGCCCAACTCAAACAGACGCAAGTCGAGCAACCCAGAATCGACCGGCCAAGGGTCGAGCAGCCTCAAACCGAACAGCCCCCCGGAGCACGAGCAACAGGCCCAATCCCATGAAAGACAGAATAGAAGGGCGGACGAGGAGGAATCCTCCGTCAGAACTGTAAATCCGCAAGCAAGGAACGACAACCTCGAGCAGTTGCTAGCTCAGGTGCGAGACCTGCAGGCTCGAGTCGAGGGGAGAAAAACGGGAGGCTCGAGAGGACACCTCTTTTCGCAACATATCCTAGACGCCGACTTGCCGCAGGGGTTCAGAGAGCTGAACATATGGTACGATGGGTCAACTGATCCCTCTCGACACCTGAGGAGTTTTGAAAACATGGCAGTGCTGCACCGCTATAACGACCCTGTTCAATGTCGAGCGTTCCTGACAACTTTGCGAGGACCTGCGCAGGACTGGTTTCATCAATTGCCCCCGGGAGCTATCAGGGACTTTGGGGGGTTTAACTCAAGTTTTCTAAACCAATTTGCAAGTGTAAAGGCCCAAGAGAAATCTTACCTCACTCTGATAGGCATGCAACAAAAGGAAGGAGAATCGTTGAGAGATTATGTGGCAAGATATACACGGGCGTGCGTCGACGTCCCCTCGGCCACTGAGGAAATCAAGTCGGGTGGACTCACTAGAGGACTCCTCCCCGGACTATGCCGAAACTCCTTAGCAAAGCGACCTGGGAGGTCGTTGGATGAGGTTTTAGGAAGGTGTGCCAAGTACATGAATGTCGAGGAAGCCGAAGCCGATTTCCTGCAAGCGGCTAAAGCAAAAACTAAATTCCGGGAGGAGAAGAAGGATAAAAAACCAATCACGACGGTAGAGAGGAAAGGATCCCCGAAGTGAGAAAGGGAGGGGCGATCAAGGGGATGGAGGACAACTCAATATACCCCCCTGCTAGCCTTGACTGCAAGGATATTGGAGGTAATGGAGAAGGAAATCCGCGAAAGCGTTGTCAGGTGGCCACGAATGAGAAAGGACGGACCGACAAAGCCCAAACGATCTATATTGTCGATTCCACAAGGATTACGGGCACAATACCGACGAATGTCGACACCTGAAGAATGAGATCGAAAGACTAATCAAAGCAGGCCATCTAAAGGAGTTTGTATATAAAGATCGAGATCGAACCAGTCGGCGAAGGGAAAGAAGTAAGAGCCCTCGTAAGAGGGCGAGAACACCCGACAAAGAGGAGCTCCCCCAGAAAAGAGGAATAATTCATATGATATTCAGAGGACCGACTGATGGAGACTCAAACCGAGCCAGAAAGGCGTATGCTCGAGGCCGCCACGGAAAAATTGAAGTACAACAGGTGGAGGAAAACGGTCCAGTGATGAATTTTGGGCCAACAGACATAGGAGAGGTCGAAAGGCCTCATAATGACGCCCTAATGATTACTGCTCAAATATCAGGCTATGAAGTGCAGAGGGTCTTCGTCGACACGGGGAGTTCAGTGAATGTGATCTTTTACAATTGCCTTAAACGGATGGAACTCGACATCGAGCTTACGCCCCTGCATACCTCACTTTTTGGATTTAATGGCTCGGAAGTAGCACCCCTAGGAGAAATCACGCTCGCTGTTGTCCTCGGGGAAGGCGACTTAAGGAAAGTAAAGATGGTACAATTTGTGGTAGTCGACGTCGAGTCGGCTTATAATGTGATTCTAGGAAGGCCAGCGCTCAACACATTCCAAGCAGTGGTGTCGACCTATCACATGAATTTGAAGTTCCCTGTTGGAGATAAAGTAGGGGAGGCCCGAGGAGACCAAAGGCTGTCGAGAACCTGTTACCAGATAGCAGTAAGAACAAACCAGCGAGCAGAAGTAAGGGAAGGGAAGAAACCGATATCGAGTGAAAAGAGACAAAGGGAAGGCGATCTTGAACCGCACAGAGAGTTGATGGAAATTCAAATTAGGGAAAGAAAAGAGCAGACCACTAAAGTCGGGAGAGAGTTGGAAGACGAATTCCGTGAACAGTTAGTGGGATTGTTGAAAGAATTCAGAGACATATTTGCCTTTTCCCCGGAAGAATTAACGGGAATCGATCCCGATGTCATGGAGCATAAACTTAATGTCGACCCCCTGAAAAAGCAGATGAAGCAGCGGCTTAGGCATCATGGTGCGGAAATCGATAAAGCGATTGAGGTCGAGGTAGATGAGTTTCTGAGAGCCAAGCATATCAAAGAAATTCAATTCCCTGAATTGATATCGAACACAGTGATGGTGAGGAAAGCGCTGAACAAGTGGCGTATGTGCATTGATTTTCGCGATCTGAATTTAGTATGCCCAAAGGGCCACTACCCCTTGCCGAGAATCGACCAGCTGGTCGACTCCACAGCTGGCTGCCAATTGCTGAGTATGATGGATGCATCCCAGGGATATCATCAAATTCCGCTGGCCCCGGAGGATCAAAGCAAAGTTAGTTTCGTGACGAGCAAGGGGACATATTGTTATGTCGTCATGCCTTTTGGGCTTAAAAACGCAGGGGCAACGTACCAGAGGTTAATGGATCGAATGTTTAAATCGCAGATTGGACGAAATATGGAGGTTTACATGGACGATATCCTGGTGAAGAGTAGGTCCTCGATCTCGCATGTGGAGGATTTAAGGGAAACCTTTAAGACGCTAAGAGCATTTGGGATGAAGTTAAACCCAAGTAAGTGCACTTTCGGAGTAAAAGCGGGACGATTTTTGGGATATGTCGTATGGAGAGGGGCATCGAAGTGAACAAGGAAAAGGTGAAGGCTATACTAGACATGGCCGCACCTAGAAATGTCAGAGAAGTACAAGTTTTGACAGGTCAAATTGCCGGCCTAAGCAGGTTCATTGCTCGAGCGACGGAGAGAAGTTTCCCATTTTTCAAGTTGCTTAAAAAGAAAGCTTTCCAATGGAGTGATGAGGCGCAAGTAACATTTGAAAAATTGAAAGAATTTCTGAGCGAATTGCCGTTGTTGACGAAACCAGAACAAGGTGACGAACTGGTGCTCTACATTTCAGTTGGGATGTTTTCTGTAAGTTCCGTTTTATTACGAGAGGTAGCAGGAGCCCAACAACTGATTTATTATACAAGTCGGGTACTTCAGGGAGCGGAGACGAGGTATTCCGAAGTCGAAAAAGCTGCTCTGACATTGGTGATAACAACCAGAAAACTTAGGCCCTATTTTCTGAATCATGCAATAATGGTGAGGACAAACTTCCAACTTGGTGAGACGCTGGGTCGACCTACCGTCTCAGGTTGACTCGTGAAATGGGCGGTCGAGCTAAGTGAATACTCCATCAAATACGGGCCAAGACGTGCCATAAAAGCTCAAGCCCTCGCGGATTTCATACAGGAGGGAACTAAAGGAGAGGAAAAGAAATGGATAATACATGTCGATGGATCTTCAGCAGCCAAGGGGTCAGCTCTAGGTGTCGTCCTAGTATCCCCCGAGGGCGAACAGCTCGATTTCGCTATAAGAATGGGCTTCAAGGCCTCAAATAATGAAGCAGAGTATGAATCACTGATCAAAGGAATTCAACTTGCAATAGGGGGTGGAGCGACGGAAATCGTGGCCCACTCCGACTCACAGCTGGTTGTGGGCCAGGTAATGGGGAACTGTGAAATAAAAGAAGGTAGAATGCAGAAGTATGTCGATGAAGTTCAAAGCCTGGTGCAAGGCTTGGAGAAGTTCGAGCTGACCCAAATCCCTCGAGAAGAGAACAAACGAGCCGACTGGCTCGCTAAGATAGACAACTCAAATGAGGGAAAAATGGGAGGCCACATTACCACCATGAGTCTGGAAAAAAGTGTCTTGGGAGAAGCTATGGAGGTCGAAGAAAAAGGAGATTGGAGGATGTCGATTCGCGAGNTTTTGCAAAGAAAAATACCTACCGGAGATAAGCAGGAAGCCGAAAAAGCCGCTCGATACCTAAGTAAATATTTCGAAATTGAAGGAGTGCTATACAAAAGGTCATATGTTGGACCCCATTTAAGATGCGTTTCTGAGAACGAGGGAAATTATGTCTTGCGGGAAGTTCATGAAGGATGTTGCGGGCCTCACGTCGGGTCCCTGGCTTTAGCTGGAAAAGTTCTGCGAGCCGGCTATTATTGGCCGAAGATCAGGAAGATGGCCGAGCAGTTTGTACAAAAATGTGAAAGATGCCAACGTCACGGCCCGATCCCCCATATCCCTGCTGAGACCATGACGACAATCAGTTGCCCGATCCCTTTTTCTCAATGGGGAATCGACTTGGTGGGGCCCTTGCCAATGGGGACTGGACAAAGAAAATTTCTGGTAGTCGCGGTCGACTACTTCAGCAAATGGGTCGAAGCAGAACCACTGGCAAAAATTACCGAGGAAAAAATGATCCAGTTCCTGTTTAACAACATCTGCTGTCGATTCGGAATCCCAAAAATATTAATTTCAGACAACGGAACTCAGTTTCAAGGCAAGCGAATCCAGGCATGGTGCCTTGATATGGGGATCAAGCAAAGGTTCGCTTCGGTCGCTCATCCCCAAGCTAACGGGCAAGTCGAGGTCACAAATAGAACCATCTTGCAGGGGCTGAAAAAGCGACTGGAGAAGGCATCGGGAGCCTGGATCGACGAGCTAACCACTGTTCTATGGGCATACCGGACTACGCCAAGAAGCTCGACAGGCCAATCATCATTCATTATGGTATATGGAATGGATGCCCTCCTGCCTGTAGAAATTGCACTAAGTTCGCACAGATCGGCATGCTTTGAGCAGGAAAAAAATGAAGAAATGGCCAAAGAAGCCCTCGATCTAATTGAAGAAGGACGAGAAGAGGCCTGGTTGCGATCGGTTGAATACAAGCAAAAGATGCGCGCAGCCTTCGACAAGAAAGTCCGAACCAGACGGTTCCAAGTCGGAGATCTCGTCTTCAAGCGTGCAGACGCCCTCAAACATGTCGGGAAGCTAGAGGCTAACTGGAAAGGACCTTACACAATCACGAAAGTTCTCGAGAGAGGAGCATACGAGCTAGAAGACGTGGAAGGTCGTCAATTGCCCCGATCTTGGCATGTGAGCCATCTTAAACGCTTTTATGCCTAAGGCTGAAGTCTAAAGCCTCCTTTTTGTACTGAAAAACGTTCGGATTATATTCAGTAGTGAAATGAATGTCGAAGTTTGATTATTGAATTGTCTTTTCTACATTTTACTATCATTATCCGCATAAAACTCAAACAACTACAAAGTTGTATGCCTCGAGCAAAATCTCGGCAAGGCTATAAAGCCCACGACTACAAAAGTCAACTCAAACAACTACAAAGTTGTATGCCTCGAGCGAAATCTCGGCAAGGCTATAAAGCTCACGACTACAAAAGTCGACTCAAACAACTACAAAGTTGTATGCCTCGAGTGAAATCTCGGCAAAGGCTACGAAGCCTACGACTACGAAGTCGATCTAAAACAACTACAAAGTTGTATGCCTCGAGTAAAATCTCGGCAAGGCTACGAAGCCTACGACTACAAAGTCGACTCAAACAACTACAAAGTTGAATGTCTCGAGTAGAATCTCGTCAAGGCTACGAAGCCTACGGCTATAAAGTCATTTTAACTACAAAGTGTCAACAAATGAAGTGCCGATAAATTTACGGCTACGAAGTTATAACAAGTGAGGTATCGATGAATTCATGATTAAAACCAATTTAAATTGCGAAGTTGCGAGTACATGACAATTCAAGCAAAAGAAAACGAAAGATAATATTCAAGATAGGTTCATTACAAGAATCATCTCGACCTTTACAATCTGAGAACTAAGTCGAGATAAGAACAAACAGTAAAAACAAACAACGGAAAGGAAAATTACAAAGACTAAAAGACGACAAGCCTGGAGATACGATTCTAAGAGTCACTATCCTCGACAATAGTGGTCGCCACCTGGCCTTCCTCACGACTGGGCCCGACCGGCTGGATCGGAGAAGTGGAGGGAGCCTCGAGCCGGGAAGAAAGCTTGGCAGCTTGAATGGCTTTAGCCTCCAGGCCAATCCACCACTGGTAATCGCCCGGGAGGGAGGGGTCACCCTCATAACCTTTAGGGTCGGGAAGCGCCATCCTCATCGCTTCGTGGTCGAGCCTTCCCGCAAATTCAGACCCCGCCACCACCGCCTCCCAGGCGTCAAAAGTATGATCGAAATATTGAACGGCGGCAGGACAAAGTTTGTCGAGAAACTCGGGCGAATTACACAAGGCCTTGACTACTTCCTCGCGATAGGTCTTGAGGAAGAGAGCACCCAGCGGTGTCGTGAGAAACGACTTACGGCCCTGCACAGTGCCGATTTCCCTCTCATAGACGATCTCCTCCCGAGATTTTTCAAGATCGGCCTGGAGCTTCTCGGTGTCGTGCTGGGCCACGGCCTTGTCGGCTTTCAGCTTGTCGACTAAGGCCTTAGACCCCTCCAAGTCCGCCTTCAGCTTGGCGATTTCCCTAAGTTGCGCCTCGCATCTGTCCTCGAGGGCCTTAGTAGAAGAGGTAGGGGCCTTGGTACCCGCCTCAAGACCAGGAAGGACGGCTGCTAAGAACTACACAAAAAAGGGGGGAGGAAAATAAGAAAATAATGCGAGCATATGTGAGCACAAATGCTAAACCCGAGTAAGAGGCACATACCCGAGCAAGGCACTGGGTAGCGTAGCAAGAACGTTCGTAATCATTCCCCTCGACGCGGTCCTTATCGGCCTCGGGGAGCATACAATGTAGGTATCGGGCCACCTTATGCGGTTCTGGATGATTCCAGAGCCGAGACGACATCTTAACCAACACGTCCTTGTAAGTGACGACAGAGGCAGCACTCCTTTCGACGACTTTTTCCTTGCCCTTGTCGACCTTGCGGCGCTTAAGGTCGTCGGGAAGGAGAGAAGGGGTCCTTTCATCTTGAGGTCTCTTACGATTACTAGGCCCCGAAGTTTTAGATCGCTTGGCCGCAGAAACCGACTTCGATCCGGATCCGCCCGATGGAGGAGGAGCAGACCCGTCGGCCAACTGACCAGTCGACTGTTTCTTTTTTACCTCGAAGCGTTTGAGTGCTTTGACTAAAATGAAAACAAAATAATCAAACAAGGCTGAAATAGAAATCAAACTCAACATTATGAAAAATATCAGACAACTTATTTTTCTAAAACGATTCGCGCATGATTGACCAGCTCACGATCTTTTATTATACGACGAGTGCTATAAGTACACTTATTCAACTCCT